TTCTCGTTGCGTGGTAATATTTTATACGGTAAAGAATCTCGTGGTATGCTTGTGTGTGTACTTGCCCATTTGCACATCAGGGGAAATTCTTCGAATTAAAATGATCTCTGTGAGAGTTCGAGCGTGACGATCGTAATGCACGGGGATATCGTTGATGATAATTTAAACGAACCGGAAGAGCTGCAGATTCAGGAGGTTAGTTGGAAATTTCTTCAGGTAATAAACGTCTGGTTTATTTATTCGTCAGTCCCCTTCAATGGCCGTGCAAACGTTATGTACGTTGTCCCATATGTTTTTCGTGTACTCCTTCGGCTGACATGTGCGTCCTTGTACCAAAAATGGCAACCCCTCCCGAATTTAAGTCAAACAAGCTAACTCCTGTTTCACGTTTTGTGCGTGTGTGTATGTGTGTAGAGTGCTCGACGAAATACTTTCTCAAGAAGAAAGTCAGTGATGTTCCTTCTTGGTTACGTTTCTGAATCATTTGCTTTGAGTTTCAATATTGTATCGTAAAGTGTGACAAGTATGAGATACATAAAATTTTCTTGATTAACAAATTTATCGAAACGAACGATTCATTTTTCCCCTAGCAACCGGTTTCCTCGTGGATGTGCCCACGAGGCGTCTTCGTGTTCGGGATCTATTTCGAGTAAGACGACCGCCGTCGTCTCGACGCACCGGTAGACGTCATTCTTCCGAGATGCGATCACCGTAGGAACGAACGCCTCGTTATGTCTAAGAATGTACCAGCTGTCGGTACATGACTTCGTCGCGTCGTTGCGAAATGCAAATATTGTGGTAACTTCCCTTGTTTCGGTTAAACTTTTTCGTTTCCAATTTTCTAATAATTAAGTTTTCGAATTTTTAAACTTTCGAATATTCAAATTTCAAATATTCAAACCTTCAAATATTCAAATTTTCAAATATTCTAACTTTCAAATTTTCAAACTTTCAAATATTTAAACTTTCAAATTTTTAAATATACAAACTTTCAAATTTTCAAACTTCCAAATGTTCAAACTTTCCAAATTTTCAAATAACCAAACTTTCAAATTTCCAAATATTGAAACTTTCAAGCTTTCAAATCTCAAATTAAAAAATTTCCAATTTTCCCCTCACTTTGGAAACCGGAAGTCCTCCGCGGCTAAGCACCGGAAGACCATCGCGTTCGATCTTCCCCATTGGAAAAACAATTTGACTCGTGCATTTCCTTTTGATAGCTAATTCGGGCGCGTAATTTCCCCCGCAGCCTTTGTAGACCTCGAGTCTGCGGATGCACGTGTATACACGCGGCGCACAGAGCGGTGGTTGTAACCACGCCTTTAGGTTCGCGGGGGGTCTGGCTTGGCGGCGGGTATACATGGAACAAAGAAAACGAAGAGAGAGGGCTTAAATATCTCGCTGCTCGATTTCTGCGAACCGTTCCAGGAATCGATATTTTTAAACCCTTGCATTTAGAAGCGCACAAACGGAGATCCGACTTGCTCGACGTCACTCGACCGTCTGGGAAAATTCTTTCTCTACACGCGTCTTGCACCAAACCAATTTTTTTTTGTTTCCATTATCAGGTAACAATCTTCGATACTCCCCCGACAATTGCAACGAACGGAAGAGCACAACGAGAAAAAAGAATTCTTCTATTCTTAGGAAGACACTCTCTCCCCACTTCGCGTTCTTTCTTCTCCTTCAGTTTCGAGGAGAGCAAACGAGAGGAAATGATCGATTTTATTTTACTTTTTCCACGTTGCTTTTTCTTCCCTCTCTTCACGAAACACGGCGCCTCGAAATCGTGTCGGTTGACATAGAAATAGGAGAACGTGTCTGTTCGTGCGAAAAAGGGTATCGCGGAAATTCCTGGCCACCCTGATCCCTGAACAAATGTATATATAGGATGTTAACGAGAGATTCGTCGCTAAAATTAAAACGACGGAAGAGACGGGCTGGATAACCGATCGGTTTCAGGGTGAAAAGTATACGAGAGTTGATACGCTTAGTGTTAAACAGACAGAGAGAACGATACAGTCTGGGGAACGAAATAATTCACGCGATCGCACGCGATTGTTGTAATTGATGTGCAACTGGCTACGCTAACGACAGGATGCAAGTGTACAGCATCCGTTTCATTCTAGATCCTGTCAATGATGAGTTCTCACGAGAAACGCTCGTTTCCCCTTCCTCCGGAATTGTCATTGTTTATTACGCTGTATTAAAAATAATATTCCCAAATTGTCGTTAAAAGTATGCAAGCAGTGATCAAGTATACAAGGTGATTCGTTAGAAACAGACCACCTTAAACGTACATGAACGGTATGGATCTTCGGCGTTTGCCACTGTTACATATTCCGAGAGAAGATAAATGGTACAAAATATTTTTGGAGCTTACATCATTTACCACTTCAATTCCTCTAATTATAAAAGTATTGCAACACCCGATATAATTTGAATACAGGTCGCCATTCGATGATGTATCCACATCTTGCCTCTTTCGCTAATGTACACTTTTACCATATCGCTACCACGAAAGTTATTAAGGTGGTCTGTTTCTAGTGGACCACCCTGTATATAAAAAAACACGCGAATCTTTACAAAATTCCTCCCAGAAGAGGAACCCTTTCTGCTCCATTTCATAATGTCCAACAAATTTCTCTGTATCTTGGAAACATCTTTGGATATTAAGGCTGTTTCTAACGGACCACCCTGTATATAAAAAAACACGCGAATCTTTACAAAATTCCTCCCAGAAGAGGAACCCTTTCTGCTCCATTTCATGATGTCCAACAAATTTCCCTGTATCTTGGAAACATCTTTGGATATTAAGGCTGTTTCTAACGGACCACCCTGTATATAAAAAAACACGCGAATCTTGACAAAATTCCTCTCAGAGGAGAAACCCTTCCTGCTCTATTTTACAAGTTCCAATAAATTTTCCTGTATATTGGAAACATCCCTGGACATTAAGGCTGTTTCTAACGGACCACCCTGTATATCAGAAAACACACGAAAATTCACAAAATTCTTCTCAGAAGAAGAACCCTTCCTACTCTACTTTACAAGGTCCAATAAATTTCCCCGTATATTGGAAACATCCTTGGATATTAAAGGCTGTTTCCAGTGAATCACCCTGTACACGAAGAAACACACGAATCTTCAGAAAATTCCTCGCGGAAGAGGAAACCCTCCCTGCTCTGATTTATAAGATCCAATAAATTTCCAGGCTTTCCACTCCTCGTGGCTTCTCTCGGGCAACAACTCGACCCTCTCGAGTTGAACGAACTTGGCCGGTTCCGTGGCAGGGACCTGAACGACACCCTTGACGCCTCAGACGCCACTCACTAATTCCCTGCCCTTTGCACCCACGCACGCACGCACGTATGCACGCATGCACGCACGCACGTGCCTGCAGGCTAATGCAATAACGCGGTCGGAACTTTCTGTCAGGGGCTTAGCCCTGTTACCACGTGGTTTATGCGCGTGCTGGGCCCAGAAGGTGACGAGAACATACGTGAATTGCCACCGACGTTACTTCCTGGTTATATTTAGTCCCCCCGTGTACCGTCAAAGATCGAATTTCTTCACGGGGGACGCCGATAAACCGGTCGAACCCGCCGAATCAGGCTGTCTTCGACGTCGACGATCGACATCGTTCGGTCAACATCTCGCTCTCTCTCTCTCTTCGAGCATCTCTCGTGGAAACAAATATAGAATCAGATGTTCAGGTGTTCCCCCTATTTTCAGAGGAGGAGATGCTTCGAGGCTTTTTCATCGAGCTTTTTTCACTTTCTAAAGTGGAAGTCCCTCCTCACCCTCGCACGGTTGACGTTAATGCGGGGCACGCGCGCCTCCGGAATGACGGACACGTGCTCCTCTGTGTATGAAATTGTCAAACTTACTTACAAGGAGGAATGGGGAACATCCGTCTGGTGCGTTTCTAGTTGCGCGTGTGATTAATACGGGCACCTTTAAAGGGACAAAAAAAGTGTTTGAACGATACGGTGAACGGAAGTGGGGCTTCCTTCTGTTGCTAAATATTGCAATTGCTCGAGAAATTGCATTTTACGCTAATTGCAGGTTTAGTTTAACGGTAGGTCTGAGATAAAATGGTATTTAGCAGAAATTAAGGAAATGTTTCCAGGTGACTATTCCTAAAGGAAGATGATAACAAAGGATCCAAAGATCTTTAAGAATTAACGATGCACCGATGCATCGTCTTCGAGGAAGCGAATATTAAGGGAACGTTTGTGCACAGGGTGAAACCAAAATAGGTGAACAACCTTTGGCATCGTATTCTACTCTTCGTAAGGATGAAAAGGAGCTTTCTGAAAAGCTCTCTTCGCAGAAATCTACTCCGAATAAAAAAAGAAGAAGCGAGAATGCAAAGTTACTCGTGCAAAGTTTCCACGTATACGAAAATCACTTATATCTCGGAAAGAAAGAGCTTCCGGGCCTGTGTTTACACGCCATTTTTCCATCCATTCGCCCACCTATTTCACTCACACCCTGTATACTCCAGCCTTATCATCGTCCACAGCAAACAACTAAAATCTGGAACGATCTCTCGCTAAAATTGAACACATCTAGGTCCAACTTATCAACACCTAAAATAATTCTCCTCCAATTTACCGCCTGCTCCATTCCCCAACGCTATTAGTCCTCTGACCCACATAACAGACACCGATTCTCCACGGCGACATTTCGTCGCGTTCACGAGTAGTATTCTTATCGAAGTCATTCGTCATTTTTCCACGTAGGAGGATGTCTAACGAGATCGGGCACGCGTCCGCGAGTCTGATGCCTCCTCCGGCTGCTAAGCAAGAGGGTGCCTGGCACCAGCTAACTGTTCGCCGCTGACAAAAATAGCGCCCGGGTGCCGTTGTACCTACGGATGCAACGAGCATTACCATCGACAGAGGCAGGAAAGAAGAAGGGAGAGAAGAAGAGGAGAGACGGTCGGGATTTAGACGTGACGGCCGCCCTTCGGCACGCAAAAGGGACGTTGTTCCACGCTTCTATCGAGGGATCGCTGCTTGGATAGAGGAAGCTCTATTTCCGGTCCACATCCGTGGCCCTCGAGGCAACGCTGATCGTCGCTCGATATCCAACGCGATTAGAACGCGTGCAGGAATTTATCTCGAAGGTTTCGCGGAAAACTCGTTTCGAACGGGTTTTCTGCAATTTTCTTCGCAGGATCTGCCTGTAGCCTTTCTGATCAGCTGATCGGTCACGGATTCCCTTTGCACTTTTTTTCGGGGCAATTAACGATACTCGATGTTGTACATCTGACGAGGAGTAAAAAGGTTTCGCTAAAGAAGAAGAAGAAGAAGATTAAGTTTTGTCGTAAGGACGAGGAATTTTAGCCAAGAGAGAGAGAGAGGAGGATCTCCTTGAAAGGCATGCGGAGAACGCGGTCGATCGCCATGAAAAAAGGACTCACGAACAGATTCGCTTTTTTCTTTAGGAAGCACAGATCGAACTGGTCGAAAGCTCGCGAGTAATGCAGCGAAAAGAGACGTATCGAACACAAAAGCTTACCGGTGTGTTTCAGCCTCGAAATAGCAGCGTCGGGACGTCGACTCTCGGCTATCCCGCGTTCCACGGTGCAACGACACTTTTCCTTCTTTCTCCTCGTTTTCTTCTTCTTATTCTTCTTCTATGCACACGATCCTCACGAAGAATCTTCTCGCGTAATTTATAAGCGAAAAAAAAAGGGAGAGAAATACTTTCGACGTTTTTCTTCTCTTTTTCCTTAACGAGTAAAAGGTTAATACCGAACGTCGTCGCGTTCGATAAGGAGTTAAATAAATAAATAAATTAGAAGATAGGTACACGCGGTCGAACGTCGATTATTCGAGCGTCGATCTGAACGCTGGAACGCCCCCGACCCTCCATTCAGAGGAACACCGAACTAGTCGACGCGTTTTCAACGACTGCACCACGTTCCCTTGCACTCGTCCGCCCCGAGCCAAGGCGAAGCTCTCGTTTGTCCAGGAGCTTTTTTCTTCCTCGTTGCTTTCCCCACCCTAACTTTACACTCGGGCTTTCCCCTACTATTCCCTTAATCTGGGGATGCAACGCGCAGCTGAGACTTCGATATTATTCCTAACTCCTCGGAGTGACAGTTGTTTTCAAGTCTTCCGACGATTTTTGCTCATTTCTTCAATTTAAAGGACAAAGAAATTTTTCTAATCCCAAAATTTTCCCTTTTTCCTAATATTCTTCTAATCTGAGTTTGTGAAACCAGTGAATTTTCCGACCTTTCCATTTAAAAGAAAAGAAATTATTGAAATTTTTCTGTTTTCTTAATGTTCCTTTGATCTGAGGTTGGAAAGACAGTGAATTTTCCGGCCTTTCCATTTCTTCCGTTTAAAAAACAAAGAAACTTTTGAAATTTTTCTAAGCTCCCCCCTAAAATTTTCCTGTTCTCTTAATACTCCTTTAATCCGAGGTTGGAAAACAATAAATTTTCCGACCATTCCACTTCTTCAATTTAGAAAACAAACTTGAACTAATCTACTTGCAAAAGAAACTACTTTTTAAAGAAAAATTCCTCACACGTTTCCTCGTTCTTTGTCAGAAACCCGTAATCGTCGTAGTAAACTGAAGTATAAACGACGTTCGTAGGGAGTGTTCGAGTAGTCTGACCATAACAGAACGATTCACTTAAGCGTATCCAGAGATCCCCGGAGTATGAAAGAATTTATTTACGAAACTGTTCGAAAAACCGTGTCGGTATCGGTAGCTCGGTAGCTACACTCTCAGAGATCCTCCGCCCTGCAAATACCGCTAGCTATTTTTTCCAAGTTCTTCTTCTTTGTCTCCCCGGTGGCTTGCATATCCGCCGGAACTAGAGGCGTACTTTTTTCACATTCGTCTGTCGTCGAGCCACGACACCAGCCATTCCTCCCTCCCTTCAAAGAGGGTAATTCCGAACGTAAGACAAAGGAGGAACACAAATTCATCCAGTTTACGTCTCTTTTTTCATTTTGTTAATTCATAGTACGTGTGTGTGTGTGTGTGCATAATTCGAGAGTATAGATGTGTGGGTGACAGGACGATGAAAGCAACGTGGGATCATCTCTTTATTCGTCTGAACATCGCTGTAAAAATTCCTAAGCCGCTAATTTAGATCATCGAGGAAGGATCTGTTCTTTGAAGCCGCACACTCGCGGAACCATTAATCCTGATATAACTGGACTCCCTTTGAAGAGACATTAGCAAATGTGCATGTCAATGAAGTTCTGTTTGTTCTTATACACCGGTCCCCAGGAGCCGTACTTGTCCTTTTTGTTCGTCGACTGTTGCTGCTGCTGCTGCTGCTGCTGCTGCTGCGATTGCTGCTGATATCCTGACGATGCGTTTCCATTTTTGTCCTTGCTGCATATTAAATATCAAATAATCTTCATTCAGTCACCATCGATATTTTCATTTCATTTTATCAAATTTTACTATTCTTATTTTGCTTAAATAATAATTTTCAATTTAATATATTTGTGTTCAAATATATCATTTATAATTTTTTTTAAATTTTAGTATCCAGGAAAATTAAATAAAATTATTTCTAATATTTTTCTAATTTTAGTATCGAGGAAAGTTGAATTAAATTATTTAAAATATTAGTCTCGAATTTGAAATTATGAGGATATTGCAAAATTGAAGAAAATTGAAAAATCTTAGAGATAATCGTTTAAATGTACCTGAAATTCTCGTGAGGTCCCCTAATGGCGCTATTCTGTATTTTAGTGTGGCCCATTTTTCTCTCCTGCTGTTCCTCCTTCAAAATTACCACGCTCCTCTTCTATATTCGTTCAAGACCAATCTGAATCGATGTTCCGGCCGATTGTTGACGAAGCGATTGCTCGAATTTAGTACCTGAAGCTATTCAGACACTGTACTTACTGTCAATCTAAAGTGTCCACCTTTTTTGCTACCTTCGAAAGCAATAATTATTCCCCTGTTATTAACCGTTCCTTATTCTATTTTCAAGGCTATTTTCCGCTTATTAGATACGCAAGACACTCACTCTACGGTACGTGATGCAAATGAACCAGAACTAGCAATTCTAAACGATTGCCAGTGTTACCTCGTCGACTCCCCTTGCGAGTACGTAGGTTTTTAGCGAGCCTGTTGATAAGAAGAAGAAAAAAACACGTTCAAGTACCATTAATACGTAATTTTGCAAATCTTCACGATCCCTACTTCCTCGTTATTTTATCCAAGAAACACACCGATTACTCTAATTCAACCATTTAATCCGAGAAACTTCTTGGTATTCTAATTTTTCGAAGAAACGTCGATTAAGAAGAAAGAAAAAAAGAAGAAGTGATTTATAATCGTGCAAAGGATACCGGTAAACAGGTTCTCAGGGGACCCACCCATCGATCTTCACCCAGTACTATTCCACATCGTCATCGTTTCGAAAGAAATTAATTCGACCCGATTTTCACAGTTAAAAAAGCTGTTACTACGAAGAAGACGACCGTGTGGTGCACGTAGCAGAGAACCTGTTCTCGCGTGTCTCTGCACTTACCTAACACTGGCTAAGAATGTCGGGGAGTTTCCTTGACAGTCCAAGACTTTGCACCTCATCGACACATAGGTCTTCTCGAGATTTCCACGAAACACTGTCACGGTTCTGTTCGATTACAATTTTTCCCTCGACGTTGCTCCAACTGATCTATCCCACTGATTTTCTCTTTCGAAATTTTCGAAGATTCGACAGAAACAGGGAAAATTTTCAAGTAGAGACGTCGACACGAGGGCCTTCAGGAGGACTGCAGGTTCTCCGGCGATCTCGTCGCCTTTTACATAGTCTCTGCGTGTCCCCTTCTTCGCGAATCGTGCCTTCAGGTGTCGGTCGAGTGGGGATCGATCTCGATCCCCGTGTGTAAACGACAAAATCGTTAATCGATCTCACGTTTAATAGTCACGTTATCGATCTACATACGTCAATTAACTAGGTTGCAATTGATATATTTGTCGAGGAAAAACTGTGCATAAATTGTCTCGAGAGAGGAGAGACGTGTTGCAAAGTGGTATTTTTAAACATTGTAATTTTCACCGTGAAAGAAAATAATTCCCGGTAATAGAACGAATTTCGTGGAAAATACGAGGATATAAATTGTCGAACGTAGTGTGACACGGTTATATTTCTTTCGAGACGTAGAAATCGTAGTCGTATCTGGACCAGAACTATTATCATTCCTCCGAAAAACAAACTGCGCGCTGTTCGAGGGCGTAGAAAAATGTCCGACCAAGGCTTCGTCACTGCTGAACTAACGTTAGTGTGAGAAATGGGACGCATAATGGTCGTAAAGGGCTGGGCACTTTGTTCTTCTTCCCGTAAATTTAACGCAGCGTCGATATTTTTAAGGAAACGATCGAATTTGTAACATGGATGCTTTTGTTTTTATTTGGACCGGATGAATTTCATCATGGCGGATTCGACGAATTCGCGTCTAATATTCGCAAGCACAGCGCAATATTCGCGACCAAGTCGTCGGTGTACAGGCCAATGATAAATAAATTATACATTCAGAGGGAAAATGGAAAAAATAAAGGCGCGTAACCTGTAAATGCAAACTAGAATCTGATGCAACATCAATCTGCTATTTCAACAGGTTATTACTTTCAGGACAACCGGAATTCTTTGACCAAATACCAACGAGAAAAAGTTAAATTTCGCGTGTTTTCGAACGATTCGTAAATACGAGGATATTTTTCTAATGACTCGATATAGTAGGAAGTGGATCGAACTTTGCTGACGTGGATGTCGAAGATGTTTGCCTGTATACGAAGATTGCTCAACGAAAATAAAGTTTGTATTTCAAAAAGGTGTTATTTACAATAAAATAAAATATACAGTGTATAAAATATAAATAGAATTTTGATTTTATGTATAACAATCCTACTTTCTGGGTGGATATGTTTATCGCGTGCACGGGAAACGATGTATAAATTTAGTAGAATATTTTTATTTTACAATTGTTGGTAGATTATCGATCTATCTGGCCTCTACCACTTTATGCTTGCTTCCTGGACTCAGGTTGATCAATTGGCTTGAATTCTCTGCCAGTTCAGCGATACTGACTCTACCACGCTGTTTCACAAATTTTGCAACAGCTTCAAGTTCTTCCTGAGAGATATAAATGAATTTCCCTCTGTCATCAATCACTCCAGTTAAATTTCCAGTTGCTTGCAATTCTCGAATCCTGTCTACAACACTTGCTGTCTTTAAACCAAAATGTGCAGCCAAGTCTTCCAGAATTACCACTTTGTTCTCTTTAATGTACTGAAGAAATGACTCCAATAAATTCTCTTCGTTCTCCTTCTCTTCTTGGTCATAACCCTCCTCCTCTACACTGAATGCTTCTTTCATTTTCAAGTATTCTTCGTGTTCTCTCCTTTCTTTCTCCTCTCTTGCTTTCTTTTCTGCCTCCTCCTGCTTCAATTCGTCTTCTCTTTCTTTTTCATATTGCTTGTCCCTCTCTTCTTGGAGAAGCTGATCTCTCTCTCTCTGGACCTTCTTCTCTGCTTTTGCTGCCAATTTTGCTCTCTTCTTTGTACCCATCTTGTGATCAGGTATGGTTGGCTTCTCATCTGCCTCGTCATTTGCTTCATTTCCAGATCTGTCATCATCTTCTTCCACTGGTTGAATGGCAGTTGTTGCTTGCATACGACGTCTAGCATTTCTCTGACCAGCTGCTCGTCTCACTGGCCTACCTTGTGCAACTCTTTCCGCTGCATTTGCTTGTTTTTTCTGTCCAGCTATAACATAGTCGGAAAAAAAACAAACATTTGACGTTTTTCCGAAATGTCAAACACTCAGAAAAAATAAATAACCAATCTGAGCATGTATTTCTGACTAATACATGAAAATATTGACTCAGGATTTGCAAGCAATGACAAAACGTTTGTTTCATAATAAATTATTAGGTTAGGAATGCGAGAGATTATAATCAAGGCGGTATTTTATTGGTAACATAAGAGAAATTACGCAGGCGAAGAACATACCGGATCTACGTCCCAAGAACACTGTACAAATGACAATCAGTACAATAATTAAAGCAGCAAGAGTTGCTAACAACGTGACGTCCATTTTTTGTTTTTTATTTTTCTCTTTGGTTTTCGATTATCGAGAAAGTTGCTATCGATAATGCCTAGCAGCGCCCCGTACGTGAACCTGACCGATTGTTTTCGAAGGTGACGTGTGCTGTGTGTGCTTTCACGCAGAATTTTCATTCGTAATTTAAGTTTTGCTGTGTTCGTAACAGCAGTGCGTGTCGATAACCATGTTAAAATACGGTAGTACACTTTTCGTGCTCTTGTGTGTCTTTGAATATGGCACGGGACTTTATTTTCACATTGCTGAGACTGAACGAAAGTGTTTCCTCGAGGATATACCAGATGAAACGACTGTTTTAGGTACGTGAAATCTACATGTTGATAAAAGTGGAGTTAGTTATACGTCTGTGCTACAATTTTCACTGCAAACTTTTGTTCTTTTCTACGCAGTAAATTATAAGGTCGAATTGTTTGACCCGAGAACCGGCGGATTCGCACCAAGCAGCCCTGGAATGGGCATGCACGTGGAAGTTCGCGATCCAGATGACAAAATGATTCTTTCCAGAGTGTATAGTTCGGAAGGAAGAATTTCGTTCACTTCTCACACACCTGGCGAGCATGTTATTTGTTTATACTCTAACAGTAGTGCTTGGTTCAGTGGTAGTCAACTGGTATGACAACATGATATATGTATTGATTCATAATTGTTTGAATGTTTGACATAATCAAATTTGTTTTGTTATGCAGAGAGTGCATTTGGACATTCAAGTTGGTGAACATACTATTGATTATGCCAACACAGCTCAAAAGGAGAAGTTTACTGAATTGCAGTTGAGGATACGTCAGCTCCTTGATCAAGTGGAACAGATAACAAAAGAACAAAATTACCAGAGGGTAATTGATTGTTTTAGTAGATTTTGACTGTTTCATTGTGGAAAACATTGTGTATGTTGCTTTTTCTTTTTTAGTACCGGGAGGAACGTTTCAGACAGACTTCTGAAAGCACACACCGCCGTGTGTTCTGGTGGTCTCTCACTCAGTCTGTACTTCTGGTAATTATGGGTGCATGGCAAATGAAACACTTGAAGAGTTTCTTTGAAGCAAAGAAATTAGTGTAAAAGGAGAATTTACTCCTACTAAGATTAGTAATTTTAAAAAGACTCATTTTTTCTTCTTATCATACGAAATTCTCAATATAATTTATTAAGAAGGGAAGGAAAGAATAAACATAAACGTGAAATAATTCGTTTTCAAACATTTATACTTTCCATATACAACCAGTTGGGGTGTCACTGCATCTGTTTATTAATTAATATATTCGATCAACAATCGATCTTTGTATGTAATAAATAAATGTATGGAGTGGATTTTCATAGAAATAAAATATTAATTTTCAAAAAAATTCCTGGTTATTTTTTTCCCTCATGTATATATAGATTTGTCGTAATTTGAAAGACGACCGTATTATATTGACGTACATGCGAACCCGCCTTTAGGTGCAGTCGATAACACATTGTGTCAGTTTACACGTGAGGTATGTAGAAGTAATGCATTTAATGGAAAAGTACTATTGATATCGGTGCAATTTAAAAGTGTTTGATAAAGGCACTTCTGGCCAAAATAAACAACATTATATAATTGAAGATTCAATAGGAAATAACAAAGAATATTATGTTCTCATTGCGACAAATATTACGATGTGGAACGCGACTAGCTTTCGCAAAAGAACCTATAAAGTTACATCAGATCGCAATAATTCGAAAAGAAAAATTCAATGTCAATCGTTACGAACGTGCTTTCGTACATACAGGTACAAACCTTTGTGAAGCACCTCAAGAAAGTAACAACGAGCAGGATAAGAAAAAAGTGCTTGGAAAAGTCGAGGGGAAGATAAAAGTGATGTTTACATGTAAAAAGTGCAATTATCGGAATGGGAAAATTATATCGAAAATAGCTTATGAAAAAGGAGTAGTTATAATTCGTTGTGACGGTTGTAAAAATAATCATTTGATAGCTGATAATCTTGGATGGTTTGCGGAACTGAGGAATAAGAATAACATCGAAAAACTAATGGCGGCAAAAGGGGAGACCGTTCGAAAGGTGCAAAATGACATCGATGGTTACATCGAGATTGTCGCTAAAGCTGAAAATGACTTGATACAACATAATAAAGGGTGGAAACAAGATTTATCCGACGAACAAATAGACGAGCCACGTGTTCAGTATAAAAAAGTGGGAACACCAGAGGAAACATAGGGAGTATTGTTGAAGGGAAGACTCTTTATTTTGACAAAGTAAATACGAGTGTAAATACTTCTAAATTTATTGTATACTATGTGTGTTTTTTATGCTATGTTAAACTTACAAGTACATATGAAAAAAAAATAATATCCAAAGTTTGGTAAATATCGAAAGACTTAAAAGTGTGTTTGTTGATCCTTCAAATAATAATTGTTAAAAGAAACAGTGTTGCTTTCATTGTGTATGTGCACCATGTGTTTCTTTAATTGTATTAAATGTAAATAATACTTCTAATATGTACAATTTGGTAAAAAATATATATTCTTGAATAAAGTTTCTCAGATCTTATGAAATTTCTATAAGACTTGCCTCTTTATTGAATGCAACAAATGTTCATGTAACTTTTTATGGAAAAAAAAAAAAGCTATGATTGAGTGTAATATCAATAAAATTTAACTTCATTCATAAAAAATGGTAGATCTTGGCACATGTCGAAGTTATATGGCAAGTTTTAATTGAGAAAACATTGAATACTTGCATGAATATCAATTAATATATATACATAATACATTTTTTATAAAAATGTTTTTCAACAATGAAATATATGGAACATAGTTAAATCTTCTATAAATGTGTATATATTATACATATGTATGTATATAAAATATATAGTACTAGAAACAAAAGGAATGACTTATTGCTTTTATTCCTTATCATGCATATATAAATTCTATTATATATCTTGAAAAAATTTATATTGTCATAAACTTTAAATATCTCTGAAGGCACAACTTCTGTTGAACTTGCAACAGTATTATAATAGGGGACTATGAATAATTATGATAATAATATTATAGATTAAAGATCTCTAAGTACACCAGATATTGGAATGACATGCAAATTCAATTTTTTAATTCTGCTTGACTTTGTCATTAAACTATATATTGTGATATAAGCCACTATATGTTTCTGTTGCAATCAGTCATTTTGATAGTGTTAAAATACTAATGTTGAAATTTTTTTCGTAATAACGTCGATAAATTTACTTCTAATATTCATTAGACAGTATGTTTAAAAGTTATTAGAATATGTAAAATCATTTTCTTTCTAAAAATAATTATTTCTACATAATTGACAGTGATTAAAAAGACTAGTGTTTCTTAAACTAATCTTTGCACAGAACAAATGTCATTTCATTTCTGCACTTCCGTAACATGGTTATAAAATATCAGCATTTAACTTCATATTATTCAGCACAATAAGAATCAACTTATCCTAGTCATAAGGCAGACTAGTACTCTTATCATTTTCGAGAGTTAAGAATCTCTGAAGTAGAAGTAACCTAATATATTCGTAGAGTTGGAATCGCTATTAAATGTAATCATTTTGGATCTTTTATACCCTTTTTGGTTTTGATACAATTGCATATTCGCTATTATTAAAAACTTTATGCTTTGGACCCATACTGCTGTTGGTAGACCCAGTTTCAGAATGATTCGTTTTCTTTCTAATAACACCATAACCAAGGTGACTATCATCTGCTAACCTAACAGCGGACATATCTTCGACAATATCATAATTAGACCATGCGGTATTAGTATCGACTACGGAAGTATTTAGGGAAACATTGGAATGTGAATTTTGAGAAGCACTGCTAAAATTTCCGAATTTATATGTACCCTTTTGATTAATTTTAGTAGCAGAGCCGAAATGCTCCAACTTATCGTAATCAGGTTCGTCATTGGGTTTACAAGGCATATGGTTCATCGTCGCCGAAGTCACTGGATTATCCGTAATACTAGACTTACTCTTTGACGAGCTTTGGGACGACATAACAGGCATCATTGTTTCATATTGAAAATCATCCTCGTTTTCTTTGTCCTTGTCGCTATGTATCAACGAGTTTGGTCTTTCTGTGTGATGTATATTATCAATACCATGCGTTTTCCAAGCGTCATTTCTTACTTCTACTAAATCATAAGGGTGTCTCTCTTCATCATCAAGTATGGAGCTTCCTATTGTTTTCTGAGATAACTCTGGAGAATTATCTCTGTTTAATGTCTTATATTCTCCGCACGAAGGTAAGTCTGATATTTCGGGATCTACGTTTTTCTTGTCCAATAAACCCGTGAAAATATATTTTCGCGGTGGTTTTGCGGGTTTTGGTTTAACAAGAGATAAAGAAGGTTTAGAGGATAAGCTAGTGTCCAAGTTTGATGAGGAGCTCGACTGTTTTTGAGAATTTTGCGGTGAAAAATCAATGTCAATTAAATTACCAGAACTATTTGGAGAAGGGGGTAATGCTGCTCTGGAACCGGCCTCCATAGATAAGGCTGCATGGTACTGAGCATCATTGCACTCAATGCTTGGAGTACTTTCTTCGTTCATTAATTTTTTCATTGATCTCATCTTGGAATACATGCATCGAAAAATCTCCTGCTGGCTACCGTGCTCTAAGCGAAAAGAGCCTTCTCCAGATTCACACTTTCTTCCTGCTTCAAAAATGAACTTTCCATCTTTGTAACCATATCTTCTGATATACCGATATGGCCAAGTGAACAGAACCACATCACCATCCATTAATTTAATATCAACTGCAGCTACAACAAGTGTATAGTTCCTACTTTCTAAGCCACAACGTTTAGATGCATCTGTTTCCACAACTTTGACAGAAAACACTCCTTCTCCACTGGTACAGTATAAGTCATTGTTTTCTTCTATTGTCTGATTAGACACACTATCTTTAAATGCTACTAGCTGAAATGCAGTAATCCAATGACTCATATCAGATTCTGAATAACATCCAAAGTAATGGATCCCTGACTTAGTCACAACCTATGTGCAAAAGAAACCACAAAGAAGAAATAAATAACTATTCCACATTGTTAAATTCCATAGTTAAATCTTGTCCCTGTTAAAACTTTACTTACTGTAAATACATGTGACTGGTTGCTAGGTGCAATCTTGATGCATGTGTCTAAGGTAATGATACGTGGAGTATGCAACTGCAATACAGCCTCCTCCTGGTTATCATAAATTTCTACACGTTTGATCCCATAGTTACTAGTTCTAAACAGCTGACAGAATCGCTTATGCCAAGATTTCTA